TACATCATATAACTTCTCAAAAAGTAAAAGTTTGTCATCATTTTTCTATTTTTAATTACTTATTAAAATTTTAAAATTAAAAATATTCTATTTTCTTTTGTTACTTACTTGTTATTTATAAAGTTATTAGACGATATAACTTTAAACTGTTTATNATGGCTGCCAAAAAAATACTAAACAATGTAGCATCTTCAAACTTCAAACTTAAGCTTTATAAGGTTGATACTTTCGAACACAGTCGTTTTTTTTTTTTCAAACAAGTACTGCCATCTATGTCAGGTTGGGTACTTCTGGGATGACCCTCGTATCAACATCAAAGAAACTCTGATTTCTATTTGGTGAAATAAAACATAATACATGCATATTTGTGAATATTGGTCAATAATATTTACTGTAGCATTTAATAATAAAAAATAAAAATAAAATACAATAATAAAACAACTCTACTGAATTCAAAGCAGTTTTAAAATCAGTTTGAAACCTGGATTGGCATCTGATATTTAAAAACTGATTTTGAGAATTTCTGATTATTGTCAGCAATGAGACATACTCAACAATTCATTTCTAACAGGAAAATTACAAGATTACTAAATTACTTGAAGTAAACTTACAGATCTTCCCTTAAGTGAAGGAGATTTAATTAAACTGTTTTCTCTGAATTAGAATTAACTTACTGCCATTAAACTGAAAACAGCTTAAGGAAAATTAATACAAGATATGCGCATGGTCTACTTTGGTTAAATTGAAATTGAAGGCAGTGCTTTGGCAGGAAACATTATTGATGCCAGTGTTTATTGTTTGATCCTCAAAATGCAACAAAGAATATTTCTATATTAGAGTTATTTAATATCAAGAACAATGTATACATTTTTTAGAAAGATAGACTTGGGTATTTCTAGAAGCTCATACAATTTGCCTAGCTGTAATAAAGGAACAATCTGGATGAGAAGATGATTTGAAGTTGAATATTGTAGAGCTCCTTACTGGATTAAACTTTTTGTATGAAGCTTAGACTGCAGCTGCCTTGAAAAGTATATGGTTTCCACGCTTGAAGTAGAGACTAAGAGAGATTTTCAAAATATAGTGTAATTGTTAGTGACAGGAGATGGAAATTGATGTCAGCTAAAACATAAACTTCAGTATGATTGTATTTCAGTAATATATGTTTAAATATAATTCAATAAATTAGACTTTTTATATGGTAGTAATACTTTAAGTGTGATTAAGACTTTTATTATTATTATTTTTTGTCTGAGTCAATATTACATTGGTTATCTAAGTGGGAGCTGACATCACAAACAGCTTAGTTATTTGAAGTAGTTATAATTGTGGAATGTCTTGATTAATGTCTCAGACTTATTCTTAAATAGAAATCATTAAGCAGAAAATAAAAAATTTTTTTGTTTACTTGATTTTTTTACAAAACAATATATTGTACTTCTGTAATAGAGCACATTTAAAATAGAATTATGAAATCTTCATTTCACTGTAGTCTGAATATTTTTAAAAAGTATGAAATTTTTTTGTATTGAAGCAAAATTGTTATAAAAACAAAAAATATATCCCTTTAATCAACAAATCCTTAAGAAATAAAACCATTTTCAAACATNACGTGATTTATCGTTAAAAAGGTTTTTGTTCTGTATGATTTAATACCCAGGTATATTACAGACATTAATATTTAGAAATAAATATTCCCGAGAAAACAAGGAATAAATACTAAAACAATTTGATTTTGATTTTTTCGATTTAGGATAATTATTTTACTTTCCCAGCCTGTTATAGGCCTATATCAGAGGGAAAATTTGGCAATCGGTCAGAAAATGACTCCAGATTTTACATTTTTGGATTTAGGGCGCATGAAACGTCGAGAAATACAAAAAAATTGTTTTTTTCTGTATTTAAGGATGTTAATGTGTAGGTGGAAGTAATAAGGAGTAAAATCTTCATTAAGCCCGACCCTACTTGAGATATGACACGCGACCCGCTACATTTCTCCACCCTCTGAACCTTTAATTTCGAAATTTTAACAGCATTAATTTCCCTAATACGCAAACTTTTCTGCAAAATTTTAGAAATTTTCGAAAAAAAAGACGCATGAGTTATTAAGCTTCAAAGAGGGTGAACGAAATCGTGCACCCTCACAGGCATATACTAACATCCATATATACAGAAAATTTTGGGAAGTGATTTTTTGACCGATCGCTATACTTTTGCCCTGTTATATGTCAATGTATAGCAGGGGTGTCCAACCCGCGGCCCGAGGCAAGTTCTAATGAGGCCCAATAAACGTGTAAATAAAACCGATAAATGTTTAAATTCTTTTATTATTTATTTATTTCAACGGCATAAACCCAAAAAATAAGTTTCACAAAGCCATAAATCTTTATTTATATTTTATTTTTGAGTGGAAAGCAAATATTTTCAAATACTTAGAGATGTGTGAATGAAGAAAGATTTATTAAATAAAGCTGGAGTTTTGACTCAAAGGATTATAGACCCAAATTTGGGGAAAGGACGGAAAGAGAGAAAGGACAAAAGATAAAAAGTAGTGAGAAAGGTTAAATAGATCTGTTATGCAAATATTGACCCTTAATTTTTCAACCTTTCTCACTTCTTTACCTTTTGTCCTTTCCCCGCATTTTTGGTCTATAATCCTTTGAATCCCAACTCCAGCTTTATTTAGTATTCCTTCCAGCGTTGCAAGATTTGGCTACTTTTTTGTTTGACGTAAAAAATATAATTTGGCACTTTGGCTACTTTTTTGGCTACATATTATTTGTAAATATATTAGTCAAATAAAAATGCACTTTAAAATGGTGTTTCGTTGCTTTTTATTAATTAAAGACCCAAATTAAACAAATATTTGTGTTTTTCAAATAAATTTTCGTTTGTCTCTTTTATAATAAATGAATTTATCTATTTCTAAGTAAAAATTGAAAGTGTCTGAGAAGTTATTTTCTAANCTTTTTATTAATTAAAGACCCAAATTAAACAAATATTTGTGTTTTTCAAATAAATTTTCGTTTGTCTCTTTTATAATAAATGAATTTGTCTGTTTCTGAGTAAAAATTGAAAGTGTCTGTAGAAGTAATTTTTTAAAATATCCTTTTTCGTGATAAAGTTCTAATATTGATACTTATTATTATAATCTATACAGGTTAAGCCTTAAATATACTTGTATATTGGGTCATAAGTATATATAGTTGTGGCCCAAAACTCCTTGACTTCTTTCAATGCGGCCTAGAGAAACAAAAAGGTTAGACACCCCTGATGTATAGCATATTTATTAATGGGTAAATCATATTCGATTTTTTTTTTTTTTTTGATTCTTTCCGCCCTGTGGCACAAAGAGGTGTTTTAATTATACCCATTTCGAAGAGGCAGTCGGGTGATGAGAGACGAGACCCGACATATTCAGGACAGACCACTTTTCTGGGATGATCCCGTATCCTCAGAGCAAACGTCTCCCAAAATACATATAGTGANTTGGCTACATATTATTTGTAAATATATTAGTCAAATAAAAATGCACTTTAAAATGGTGTTTCGTTGCTTTTTATTAATTAAAGACCCAAATTAAACAAATATTTGTGTTTTTCAAATAAATTTTCGTTTGTCTCTTTTATAATAAATGAATTTATCTATTTCTAAGTAAAAATTGAAAGTGTCTGAGAAGTAATTTTCTAAAATATCCTTTTTCGTGATAAATTTCTAATACTTATTATTATAATCTAGACATGTTAATCCCTAAATATACTTGTATATTGGGCATAAGTATATATAGTTGTGGCCCAAAACTCCTTGACTTCTTTCAATGCGGCACAGAGAAACAAAAAGGTTGGACACCCCTGCCTTACAGCATCATCATTACAATGAATGCCAGACTATTTATTACTAATAAGTTTGGAAATCTTAATGTAAAATGAACATGATTAAAAAATATATGCTATCTTTATAGAATATTTATTGAATATGATATTTGTAATCAGAAGAATTTAATAGATTGTAAAGTTTCTATTAATAAAGTAATGTTTTTGTTAACACGATAACTTCAAAAATCAGAACTAATAGCTACAAATGTTAGTTCTATTCTTTATTCACTATTTCATTTTTAATACTGAAAATAGTTTAAAATTTACTTCCCTTTTAGATAACTAAATTTGTGATGAATATTTTGTAACATTTTTATATTATCAAGCCTGCAATTACACCCTTTATAGCAAACATGTTAACCAAAACATTACTCCTTAATAGGAAAAGCTTTGAAACAATAAGTATTGTTGGTTATTAAGATGTAATGCATCATTATATATTAGATATTATTTAAGCAAATATTTTCTATAGTTGCACTTAGAATATAGTTAGTTATTTATTGTCTTGTAACAGAATCAATTTTTACAAGTTTAGTAGAGAAGATTTTACTGTTAGTATATTTTATTGTGTTTATATATAAATATTGATATAATGAAATTTTTCTGTAATAACAATAATAATTAATAATTTTAATTTTACCATATTATGAAGTNAAAACTGTGGTTGTTTATTCGACATATTTTGTGAAAAATTTTTGTATATTTGTAATAAATATTATAAGTCTAACAAATTTTCATTCAAAATTATATTGATATTTAGTTCGTTAAACGCTGTTTATTAAATAGAAATTTGATCAGAAGTTACTAATATTTGAATATTTATATCAAGCACAAATAATAAAAGTGTTTTTGATAATTTGGCTAAAAAAAATTTATTTGAAATTTTCTAAATAAATTATGGTATTACGTTGTCTTTTTTATTTATTTATCAATTATTGTTCACCGGTAGAATAATTTGAAGGAAAAGCATCTTCAGCCTCTAACGTCTCGAATCTCCTTCTGCTTAATAATAGAAGTGTGCTGCCGGCTTCTAGTTCGTCGTTCTCTCTTTCCTGCGATTCCTGTATGAAATTGATCTTAGTGACAAAATTCGAATTTTCTGTTATTTTCAGTGTTTAATTTTCTTAAAATTTATATTTAGGGTCTATATGATATTCATATTCGATTAGCCAGTGTACCTCTTCTTTCTTGGGAGCCACCACCACTTTCACATAATATTTATGCAAGGTAATGAAAGTTATTTAAAGTATATAAAAATTAATTATTAATATGAAAACATATTATTAAAATATGGTAATTGTTTTTACTCATAATTAAATTCATATATAATTTTAAATTAAAACAAATATCTCTCTCTTTGCAATCAAAACAAAAATTTTTAATTATTTTATGCATGATATTACATTCACAAATTTAATGAGCATAGATTAGTTTTAATGTATAACATATATGATCTGTTTTCTTTATTAGTGGAAAAATTTTAATAATTAATTAAATGGTTATTATTAATCATAATGATTTAATATATTTAGAATTATTAAATTACTATATTTTTGAGACTATAGGCTATATGGTTTGATAGGCAGCACTGTTAAAAAACCAAATATTTATAAGATGTTTTTGTTTGATAAGCCACATGGATGTTAGGTTGCAGTGAAAATGTTTAAAATAATCCTAAACTTCCAATAAATAAATAATAATAGTGAGCTTTGAACCACTAAAAAAAGTTTTATTTAGTACTGGTACACAGAAAACAAATATATCATATATGTATATACACAGAAAAGAACTGTTTTTCTCACTCAAAACCTTCAAAATTGCTGGCTCCACTATCAGAGATAGACAGACAATCTTTATTAGATCAGTATCAGAGACAATCAGTTCCATCACTTTTGCTCTAACAATTCATTATTTAGGTCTATTTCTTCCTTCTTGTCTGAAAAATTATGGGATGAATAGGGCCTTAGCCCACCTGATGTCCCCTGAAATCTTATTGATCTCCAATTCTGATATGTACAAAATTTATGGCTTGGGAACTGAAGGAACATTGGAAAACTCTAGAACAGTTGCTAATTAAATTGATTAAGTCCAGATGACCTGATTGACAGATATATGATGTGTCTCTCACCCTCTTTTACAACCGGTAGCCACGGAGGAGTAATTTACACGATTTTCTTAAAAGCTAACAACTATTTCTCAGACCTTGCAGTTTTACAAAGGAGTTTGCAGAATGATACATGGAATTGAACCTGAACATGAATGCAGCCCAGGTGGCATGACTGACTTCAAGGCAATCAATAGTACAGTCGACCCACCTATAATACGTGTTCCTATAGTTCGGATTCCTATATCACGGCAAAAAAATTGCGACAGTATTCGTACAAACACGCTAAAAAACCTCGTATAATTCGGTAAAACGTCATTGCCAACTCGTGTCGCGACAGGATTGGTCAAATCTAGACCAATAGCAGATATTGTACAAACAGTTGAGTTTAAACGAGCAGCGGACCTACTAAAAACCATTTATTATTTAACGTCCATAAAAATTATATTTATAGTAATGATGTCTCTAAAGTTCAGTGAATTTTTCGCAAAAAAAATAATTTATCAGGAAGCATGCAAGCGCCATTCAATGACAAGCTCCACGACGAAAACAAGCTTAAGCAATGGCGTAGTCGAACAGTGCATGCTTGGTAAGTAATCCTACAATTTTTCGTTTATAGCATAGTTTATATGGATTATTCCCAAAAAATTATACATATTTTGGAAATGTAGAATCAAATAATTTTATGGAAGAAACCTTTCAAAAAGCCATAGTCCGTAAACTGCATACATGCTGGGCTGCGATTGGCTGGACTTGTAGAAAATGGATTCATAAAAACTGGAATGTATCTACCATGTTATAGGGGGGTCGACTGTGCATAAATGTTTTATCGTTTGTTAGGCTACATTTATATTGTAACCACTAGTTTTTCTTTGATAAACTGCAGCTTAATTAACATCTCAAAAATATTTATATTAATCATGCTTTTGTAATATTTTCTATCTGTATAACACACACTTTACTTATTTTATTTTACATTATTTTCATATTTAAATGTCTACTAGGANATTATTTTCAGTTAGATAAATATTTAAAATAATTAAAGCAATTACATTTTTATTTGTCAGCATAAAAAAAGATGCACCAAGAACAAAATTTATTGCTTTTGGAATTAATATTAAATTATTAGGTTATAAACTATATAAAAAAATAAACTAGTCATTTATTTATTAGATAACTACATTTTACTTTTTAATAGTGTGTATTTATTATAGGCTAAGTTTAAAAGACATATCAAATGCACTCAATTTCTATTATATTCATTTAAGTAATGTATGTTTAGATGTGTGTGCATGCCAAGTACCATAAAGAAACTTTTGATTATTATTAGACTATTATTATTTTTGGTTTTGTATTTAAGTATTAAAAAAATTGAAATCATTTTGATAAATATTTGAAATGAAATACTATATTTTTGCAAATATATTTTCCTGGAAAATATTCTTCAGAACAAAGTTCCAAATTTTATAATATCATTATCACATAGTAGTTCCATATTTTGGGTAAGCTGACTGGGTCACCCACCAAAGTCAAATGGCTTCCTTAAGGCACTTTAATGTCTCCTTGTAGGCAGCTTCAGCTACAGTTACATCGTGCTTCATGAAATCAACAAGAATCACATCTTGAACATCCCAAAAGATTGTCAACATATTTTCTGCACTTGTGATTATTTTAAACTTCATGTGTTGGTGAATGTTTCCATGCCATGCTTTCCATTTTGCTCTCTGGTGCAAAGTGGTGCAACAAAAATGTATTGCTCTCAATTGCATAACTTTTCAGGTTTGTCAGTTAGATAGCCATTCTCTCAAGCTTGATTGGACAGGACTCACCTACTGCACACTTTCTGTCCAAACATTCAAGGACAATGTCCCATGCTGTGCAGCTGTGAATACATACTCAAGTTGCAGCAAGCTGTGTTTGTTTCCAAGTAATAAAATTGGGAAACTTACTCTCATATTTTACTAAATAACTATTGGTGTATTTAAAATTTAAAAATCATTTAATTCTAAAATAAAATGTTTTAAAAATTTCAGTAAAGTAATGAGTTGTCCTGTTGTCACATTCAACACAGTTGAAACAGTTGGCAAAATTGTAGATGTTTTAACAAAAGAAATGCACAATGGATTTCCTGTTGTAGATAATAAGGTAATAATTTTTTGTTTCTTTTATTCTTTATATATCATGTTTTATGTAAATAAAACTTTACCATATTTTGTTAAATTTAGCATGAAGGAAGATTTCGTGGACTGATTTTAAGATGGCAGTTAATAGTATTATTGCAGCATAAGGTAATTAAACTATCTTTTCTATTATATATGTTAATATAATAATATAAATGATTTAGATTGAAGCTTGTTATCAGAAAAATTAGACAAATAACTGACAAGGAAAATGGAGTTAAACTTTACAGAATCAAATAGCAAATATCAAACAACAATATGGAAAATTATAAGAATTTAGAAATTATTTTGATATAATAAAATTGCTTAAAAATAATATATTTAACAATTTCTGATTTATTTATTTAACTTTTATTATACAAAAAAAAAGAATGAACTTATTTTGATAACTTATTATTTACTTTCCTAATTTTGATTATCTTATAAATATATATTATACAAGGTTGCTTCAAAAAGTTCCTGGAATTGGTTTATTAATCAAAAATATGTGTACAATTGACAAATTAAACAACATGTCCTTCAAAGTATTGTCCTTCAGCAACCACACACTTTTGCCAATGCTGATATAGCAGCTGAAAACATTCTTGTAAGCCGTCTTGCGACAGTGCCTGCAACACAGATGTCATACTCTGTATAACCTCATCCCGCATCTTTCAAGAAGGTAGAGGAAACGGAAAGCGGTAGAAATTTCATGAGGTCTGCCATGAGCATTCATGGCACCATGTAATGGCAAACACAGTGCATGTACAATTGATTATGCAGGATGGAATGACAACTTTCAACTGAAATTCCTGCTGTCTTGGCAATCTGCTGAATTGACTTTGGGTTGTCTGACCTCACAATCTCACGTACAATCGATACTTTCTCATCCCTCCTGAAAACATTTTTGCCAGTCAAACTTCATGGATGATTCAACGTAGGCATCCTGAAGCATCTTCAAGGTCTCAGAAAGTTTTTTCTTCAATAACATATCATTCACTGAAGGTCGTGTTAGTGAGAACTGTTGTCATCTTTGCAGAGAGTATGGACCTATTTAGGTAAGACATGTTCCCTTTTTCATCACCTTTAATTGACTAACCCAGCATAATTCTGGGAACTTTTTGAAGCTACCTTTACCTTGTACACACACACACAGGGAGAGAGAGAGAGAGAGAGAGAGAAATATTAATACTGAGGCAAGTATTATCATTAACAAGTTGTAGATCTTCCATAAAAAATTTTAAAGAAATTAATATATGAATTGAGAGTAATTCATAAATTTAACCTGTGCTGGTTTTATTTTGAATTTTGTGAATTATAATAATACCATGAAGATTTGATGATAAATGAATGTTTCCTGTATGAACAATGCTGAAATAGTTTTATTTAAGTTGTTAATAAAAAAAAAAAATAGCAATAAAATATTATTGTCATCAATAAAAATATGTAATTTTCTGTGGAATAAGTACTTTAAATAAGTCTTGTGTGTACTTTTAAAAGCTTATTAGATATTTTTTATTTTAAACAAAAAGTTAGCTTGATTTAACAAGTTATATATATATATATAAATTTGCTTATAATAATTTTTATTTATAGGTTTTTAATGAAACTGCAGAACGAACTTGGCCAAATAAATTAAAATTAAAAAACTTTAGGGATGCGTATCCTCGTTATCCACCTATTCATGTAAGTTAGAAATTAAAGACATTATATATTTAAAAATGGAAAACTTTTAATTTAGTTTTACAGAGAAAATATTTAGATACAAATTATAACAACACAGATTCAATTTACTTTTTAATTTTGTAGTACTTTGAATATATTATTTATATTTTGAATATTAAGTGTCTTTTTTTCCTTGTTCATAATTTATATAAAATGATTAATACTGAATATAGAGTATAAGATGCTAGAATATGATACACACACACAGTTTGAAAAATATTTTTCAAACTGTGTGTTATAATTTACATAGAGTATGCTCTTAATAGGTAATAAAATTAAAGTTCTAAAGCATCTTAGGGAGCTACTTTTAGATAAAGCTTAACAAACTTTATTAGATGAAACTGTGCATACATGAGGAAGAAAAAGAATAAAAGTTAGATATTTGACATTTAGAGCTATAAAATTGTACAGTTTTTCCCCTCATTTGATATCATTATTGCTTTAAAAATTTGTTTTCCAATAGTCCAGAATTTTGTTTGTTAAAACTTCATGAAGGTTGTGTATTTTATTAAAAATTTTAGAAAATAATAAATTATCACAGCAGTTTTTTGCACAGTATAAAATTCAAAATACATAAAACCACTACTTCATGCATTTCCTTGAAATACAATAATCTGTATTGGCTGTCTATAAATCAATGCATCCATAATTTTGTTAAACTATGTTTTCTATATTAATTTACACATGTAAAAATTTTTATGTTTTGTATATATTATACAACTAGAACATTAATTATTAATTTTTTTAATTGCTTTTATAACCACTTAACATTTTGGTTTATTCATCCAAAACCCCCCCTTTAAGTGGTTATAAAAGCAATTGATTATATCCGGCAAATATTGCTAATTTAGCTTTGTTACATTCTTCATAATTTTTATGAAAATTAGGCAGAATAATTATTTAGTAAAAGTTATGTGATTAAACAATATTTTAACACAAAAATAACAAACACACAAAATTAGAAATTTTATATTTAAATCATAAATAATTAAAATTGTCATTTTTTTTATATGTAGCAAGTAAATATATCACAGCAAGAGAGAAACTTTACCATAGATTTAAGACCTTACATGAATCCATCAGCATATTCTGTTCTACATGTAAGTAATTTTACATGAATAAATAACTTATTTTCAATTAAATTAGTAAATTAAAAAATGTTGTTATTAATGTTTAACTCATACAGTAGTAGTAATTTTTCACATTAGTTTTTTGTGAGCATTTTTTACCAAATTGACTTAATTAGCACGAGGACATCATGGAAGCACAGCTAAATATTATCCATCTGTCTGCGTAAAAATTTTGGTTGAGAAAAAATTTTTACTTACCAAACGCCCTCAAAAACTGCCACTTAATGTATCCAATCATATACAATTTTCCTGTATTGTCACACAATCATATTCATAAGGTGATGATTTTTCTGCTCTGAATCATTTTTGGTGACCTGTTGTCATCAAAAATGACATCACGGAGATTTCTAACAATTACTGCGAGAGATATGCATGAGATAAGCATGGTCTGCAATTCTCTGTGAACCTTGGATGCTTGTATCCTGGTGCACTATGACCTTCAAAAATTTAAATGTGTTCACAGATTTGCTCCATGCCCAAAAAAATACAGAAAATGACATAAGGGCTGTGGTGTTTTTCTCATAAATAGAAAAAAAATGATTGCAGAAACAAGTTTAGGTGGAAATAAAAGTTTGAAGGGCTCTGTAAACAAAACATCTCATTGAAGTTTGGTATATGCAGAGAAAACTGACAAGTGAAAAATCCTGCAATAAAATTCAAAGAACAACAATTATATGCAACATAATTATGCATGCGATCGGTTTAATAGTCAAATATGCATTTAATAAAACTGTCCTCAAATTATGTAAATCTAATCTCTGGTAAAATTTGACAAAACATTAAGCAATCTGATGAGAGGAGTATTTTTATTTGAAGATTTTTCTTCTTAAATATAATCAGTAAAATACAGTAGAGCATCGGTTAACCAAAAGCGTTCCATTTGGACTGTGTCGTGCTGAATTGAATGTTTTTGATACTAGATTAACTTCCAAAATATATTTTTTTTTTGTTTTTCAATATATTTATTTTGTTTGTACAAAATAAAGAAATAATTTTTAACGATACAATAGCCACGATTATTATTTTAAAATATTTATGAAAATTCAACACAAAGTGACACACGACGGAGAAAAATTTCAACACGGAATAGGTTAATATATTTTTTTTGTACATAATCGGTTATCGGAACAACTCCAGTCCCCAGTTGATTCGGATAAACGATGCTTTACTATAATAAGTTTCTATTGATAATATAGTTCCCAGAATAGTTTCAAATTTATTAAACTATTCAATATTGTAACATGCTAAGAATAATTTCAATTATCAGTTTTTAAACATATGATGATAATATATTATTCAAACTTATGAATCGGAATTTTTAATTCAGTTGCAGTAATGTTCTATATGTATACTGTTGAATTACAGAAATAATAGAGTAATAATAATTTTCAACAGTATTAAATATAAATTAAAAGCATTATTATTTCTGTATTGTTGACAATTATTGTTTATATATAATTAATTATAAATTTCAGACTGCTTCTCTTCCTCGTATATTTCGTCTGTTTCGTGCTTTAGGTCTTCGCCACATTGTTGTGGTGAATGATAGAAACGAGGTGAGTTAATTTTTTTAAAATGTATGTTTTTGTACATTTTTGTTCTTTTAAATTATTTTTAATGCACATTTCAGGTCATTGGCATCGTTACCAGAAAAGACCTGGCAAGATTTCATTTTCACTCTAGCCGCGGAAGGATGCATTTTGAAGAATTTCACGTCTCTCAAGGATAATTACAAAGTTATTGTGTGGTGATCTTATTTTGTATACAATACTTAGATTTATTTATCTTGAAAGTCTCTGTGATACATCTGAAAAAATTTTATAGAATAATTTTATTTTAAAAAGGAATTTACAAGTTATATATTATCTAATTTTAATTGGTCACAGATAATTAAGTTGATATAACTTTGTATTGTATCAAAGTGGAAGAATGCATAATACTTTTCTGTAAGATAAGGTTATCTGGTTGTATTCTGTGATTTAAAACATTATGTACTTCATCTTACTCTGAACTGATAAGTAAGTTTGTTAATAGTCTTGTTTGATTTATACATAATCTTAAACTTACTTATCAGTTCAAGTGACGATTTTATAAATTAGGAATTTAATATAAATTCAATTGATTTTTTTTATATATATAATACAAACAAATTTATTTGGATTGGAAATTGGTGCCAGAAGTATGCATGTCCCTTTTAAATTTTATCATGCAACAAAAAACAAATTATCTTAACAGTGAATATTTGATTATTTTCTTACAGATGCCAACCATTATTAAACGGTAAATAAAATTATTTACTGGTTAATTTTAATTCCATTTATTTAAGAACATTTATTCTTAATTAGTGTCATTGGATATCTTCAGTAAAAATATCTATATTTGAAACCTAGCATTTTCAATCTATTAATTTGATACTGCACAAAATGTTAACTCCTTATTTTCATTAGACTAGTAGTGCTTACAAGTGTTTTGACTAAAAATCTTTTTGTAGGACAGTCTATATTAAGTTATCACATTTTATTATTACTACTTCTGAGTATTTAATATTAATAATTTCAAATGGAAGCATAAAAAATATAAACTTGGACTAATTCCATTTTGTTCTGTTCTTTAATTAATGTCATAGAGGTTAATTAATCATACTACCTGGCAACAATATTTCAAACATACTTGTTTAAACAGTAGAAATGAAGTGCATATAAAAATTAAATTAAATTTTCATCCACTTGATTATTTTAAATAATATATTTATGTTACATTGTACTTGTTTTTGGGAGAAAATTTGATCTGTTTTTTGCAAATATCTATCAAGTGTTGTCTTTTTTTCCAGAGAATTCTACTGATGAGCTATTTTATAAAAATATTTATTATAATTTCCTATATTGTTATTTACAAAGTTTTCTTGTTAGTTACAGTAAGTTTTTTTTAATTCTCTTGTTTGATGTGTATTTCTGGCACCAACTAGTTGAAAATTATCATTAGTGTTATGTCAGTTTTTTGTTACTCGCTGTCTTTGATGAAAAATAACAGTTAATGACATTCAGGATTTCTTCAAGAAACTCTAATTTTCTTTGGTTAGAGTATTTGTCAAAAATTGAAATTTATTATTTGAGTTGTGAATCTAAGTATATTTTTAAAATATTTTATCACAGCTTAGATTGAAACTCAGTTGATTTAAAGCTTTGTTAATTAAAAGACAGGTAATACATCTCTGGGAGCCACTAACCTTTTACTTCAGAGGAAAGATTTGGCCAACTGGTGTCCGTTCCACTTTGTTTTCTGAAAAGAAAAATCATTTTTGTATTGTCAAAAGGCAGGGAATTGAGTATATACTGTTTGTAAAATATAAAATGTACAAATAAATATTGTTTCTATTGTACTTTAAAATGTAATATCATCAATGTTAAATATTTAGCATGTATTTATATATTGCCAAATAAATTTTGTAAAAAATTTGAAAGGGGTTAATTTTTTTCTTTTAAATCATTTTACCATATTGTGAGAGGCAGACTTGAGAAAACATTCATTTTTCGTCTTTGAAAAAGTTTCCATTTTTTTTTTATTACCGAGGAATGACGCCTCCCCGACCATCCAAACAAGTCAGTGATCTGGAATCCACACTATTAAGTGCAGTAAATCTATATATACCAACTCACAGTTTCTTGTAAACCCTCTCTCTCAACCATTATTCAATAGCATAAAACTATGCATTCTCTTTTTTGTAGAATTAAATCAGTTATTTTAACTTTTAACCTTGTATCCGTGTGATTCACTTGCGATCCGTCTCTCAATCCTCCTCCATCCTGAATCCAATCACCCGTACTCGTGACAGCTCATGCAAATTCCAAATTTGTGTCTGTCCTAGAAGACACAGTGATGTCAGTCCTGACAAGGCACTAAAGAGGTGCCAACCTTATGATCACAATATGAAATACCTACCTCAGACCACCACACCTTAAAATGAATAACAACACAATCAAAGTTGAAAAAAAAAAACTCAAATACTTGGGTGTTATACTTGATTTCTGATTTTTGTAGGATAAACATGTGGAATATATCTCTAACTGTACAGGATTTATACTTCAAGCTTTTGCACAAGTAGCCAGAAGAGACTGGGGACTATTTGCAGATGCAATGGCCATTATTTATGACAGTATATATATATATTCCTATCATTACATATGCATGGGCCACTCATAAGGTACATACTAAAAGGAAACTAGTCTCATTGCAAAGACGTGCCCTTCGAAATGCCTTGGTTATGAATAGAACTGCAAGCAATCAATCCTTACAAGTTATTGCAAAAAAACTACCAATAGACCTAACAGTTATGATGAAAGATAAATTACAACAAGCCGAATGGGGTGAAAATATTAAGACATACTCTATAACAATACTATACAATAACATCAAATGGAATTCTCCTTACTGTGACACCTCTCCTCCCGGTATTCCCTTAAATTACACTTTTGAAAGCAATAACTATGTCGATGTTGATACTGATATATATTCTGATGGCTCAAGAATTAACGATTTGGTGGGATGTAGTTTTGTTGTCTTCAGGCAAGATCTCGAAATATACAATCAGACTTACCGTCTTGATGACCACTGCACAGTGTTTCAGGCAGAAATTTTCACTATTAAAATGAGCATCAACTGGATAAACAGTAATTATAATAATTACTCAGTTCATATCCATACTGACTCTTTATCCGCGTGCAATTTAATCAACAACTCAAAGCTACATCCACTTGCCGAGGAAATCAGACATCTTATGAGGTTTTCCAACTGTACTTTTGCTATCACACGGATCAGAGTGCATCAGGGAACGTTAGACAATGAAAGGGCTGATCTCTTGGCAAAATCTGCAGCTAATTATATCACTGCTCCTATTGCTTATAATAAATACAGTCAATGTACCTTGTACCATATACTTTGGGAACATGCTCTTCATTTATGGCAAATTGAATGGGATCACAATGATCATCATATCACTCATGAATACATTCCTAATCTACTGGAACAGGCACTGAAAAATGTAGATTCCATTTTCCAGTGCCTGTTCCAGTAGATATAAACAGAACCACCCCATTGGCCAGATGGATGAAAAGTAAGACATCTGTGTGTCACCGATTCCTTTTAGTTTTAATTGGATGTTTGTGTTTTTTTAAAGGACTTTATCTCTGGTGGCATGAAGCCTAAAAAGGAAGGCCTGTCGCCATGAATGTGTACGTGTATAGTCCAGAACGCAAAATAAATGGTGGTCCCTCTTGGGCAGACTTGTCTTTGATTTGGTTAATAATAATTTCACCATCAGACGGAAAAATCAACAAAAAGTTAAATTGTGATCGTGCTAAAAAAAAATATTTACCATTACTACAACTTCATGTTATTTCATTTTCTCTATGAATATATATTGTAATGTAATTGTATTATTTATCTCCTGGTAATGCTCCATGCAGGGCCAGGAATGTACTGGACAGTACATAATAAATAAAAAAATGAATGAATGAATATGAAATACCCAATTTTCAGAAATACTAAAACCTGAAAAAGATTGCATGGGGTTTTATGCTTGAATAAATATGGCAAATGTTTTTTAATCCTCCCCAGTTTCAGATATTTTGGGATTTGGATACAAGCTGGTGAGGTTCTTCGATGTTAAACAAAACCGAAAATGTGTTTCACTAAATTGAGGTAATAATCCAAGATACGATATAATTTATTTAATTCTGTAATTATTATTAAATTCATTACTAATAATACCATGCAATGCTCAAATTAAAAAAATTTATATATGATGTACAATTTGGATTAAATTATGTATTAGCAGTTTGTTTTCCACCAGAAAATGAGCTATTTGAAATTGAGTTCAAGCATTAGCAACTCAATAATAGTTTTGGGGAGCCATCTATGAAGATCACTGGTCACTATATTGCAGCAGTAATGTGCAGTAGTAGCAATTGTATCAGCAAACATGGACATTGTCACTTAGTTTTTAAGATACAGTGGAATCAAAGTCATGGAACCCCATTTTTGATTACATATTTGGATTCCTCATGCAATTAATATAAAATGGCAAAGTTTTATCAAAATTGACCAATCAAATTTTGAGAACAAATTTGATTCTATAAGACAGTGGTCTTCAAAGTAGGGTATGTGTATCCCAAGGGGTATGCAAAGTGAGGGTATGCCGAATTTCCCTTCAAAATACTGTGTGTGTATCCTGTCTGCAGTCTGTCTAATCTCACAGTCATCCTCCCGAAGAAGTAGGTTCACGATCACTTCCGATCATACACAGAAAAAATTCAAATTGTGGGTAGCAAAAAATTTAGCAGGAATTATGTATTTATAGTGGAAATTTTACAAATTTTCTTATATTCTAGGGGGTACAACTTATAATTATTTTCATCTTAGGAGTACGCAATCAGAAAAGTTTGGAGATCACTGCTATAAGACACAGAAGATGCTTCACTAACACCACCTCAATAATTATTTTAAAAAAATATTTGCTTTCCCCAGTCTGACTTATGTTTAACTTACCAATGCAGCTTAATCCACTATTTGTTGATCTGATGTAAAAAGTCAATCACTTCTATTCCCCAACTGTTTGGGAATGATGTTGCTAATGTATTAATAAACCAGATAATGTCAGACATGTTTTGAGTAAATTTCATGAATTAACTTATAAAACAAATAGTACTTTCAGATTCACTGTTGTTTTCTGACAAAGCATCAACTGATAAAAGATTACAAAAATTAACTTTTCTCAGACAGCAGTTTAGTCTTGTTTTACATTATGTCACACTACAACTTACTATGCCATTTCTAACAGCAGCAAGAGTAATTTGTTTGTGTTATGCATGTAGCATCATTAGAACTGCAGGCAAACATCAAATATTGTGTTTTGCTTCATAAATTGTCCTCGGAGACACTAATGATTCTTCAGAAAGCTTAGTGATATTGCAATGAAGAATCCCAGGTCTACGATTGGCATGAGTTACTGTTAACAATGATCCACAAAGCAGTCTAACTGATGAAAACATTGCCATGTTTAGAATGTTATTCACAGCAACTGAAGAAATATCATTAGACATTGTAAAAATTTCCAACAGATATTCCTATGTTCTGATTAATCACCCAAACATGCATTGTGTTTGTCAACATATGGTTCCAAAAATTGTCTCCAGAACAAAGAAATGCAAACAGCAGTATCGAAAACTTAATGGCTATCGCTGAAATAGATAATTTTTTAAATATGATTGTCACAGGAGACAGATTTACAGGAAATACTATATCATAAGACAAAACATGGAAGATGATGATAACTTCCAATTAGAAGTTATCATCTCCTTGGTCAAAGGAAAAGTTGTTGGAAATTTTTTTCTCAGGTTATTATTCACTAGGAATTTATTTCAAAAAACCAAACAGTTACCAAGGAAATGTACATACCTTGATATCCTTTGTGGTCCAAGAGTTGTAGTAAGAAATCCACAAAAAATAAAAAAACATTGATTCTCCTCCATGCCACTGCTTCAGCATAATTGATATTAGTTAAATAATATGTAGTAAAGCAAAGCACAATGTGATAAACACTAGAACAACTCCTGCATATTCTCCCAACTTGTCACCACTAGATTTTCACTTCCTTCTTCACTTTAAAGCCAAGCTGAAAGGGCAGTACTTCAGAGAGACAGACCATTGCCACTGCAATGAACTATTGAAGAGTGCATTCCAGAATTGTTTTCAACAGCTTTAAGAATGTTTGGCAAAAAGTGAGAGCTGCAAAGGTGGCAATTTTGAAGGAAATAACAGTAAAATGATTTACATATATAAACTATTTTAGGAAATTATAAAAATAAATTCCAGAACTTTTAAATTTAGAATCAGAACAAACGTTATGGTTTCTATGTGATAGTGCACGTGAGTGCGACATCTAGAGAAATAATTAATAATGATATAAAATAATCTGGTGAAAATATATCAAGACAAAAAAAAATGAAAATGCTAATTTACATTCCATTAAAAAATTTTGATTTTATTGGGCTACAGTTTGAAAAAAATTGTAGATCTATAAATTCTCACTGTTGTCCATCCATCTATCCTTCCTTAATAGCGAGGTTGTGGCCAAAGTTTTCAACGCAAAAATGTGAACGTCGGACATTCAGCACTGCCTTCCTGTAAGCCTAGAAGTTTGACAATTGCATTTGGAATGTCAAGCATGATTCCACTGACATTCCAAATGCCATTATCAAACTTCTAGGCTTACAGGAAGGCAGTGCTAAATGTCCAACGTTCATGTTGAAAAGTTCAGCCGCAACCTTAGGGGCAGGAAGTCCTGATTAACTATATATGAACTTCTGGTCTAGATTGGAAGTTATGTGATTTCAATTCAAAAATTTCCCCGGCATGGCATTGTTATCAGGAAAAATATGACATAGAGGCAATAATGGTATATTTTAA